TCTTTCAAGGCATCACAAAATTGCTAAAATTACTTCTTGCTAAAATTAAATACCAATATTTTAGGAAAATGGCTATATTTTCATCTCGCTAAATATTCCACTTATATGGTATATATTGTAAATCAAATGAAAAATTGCACATAACTTCTGTGAGAAGGGACCTATCTTCAAGTATCTAACTTCGAAGTTTTCGAAGTAAGAGTACTAAGACACTGAATAAGTTGTGCTATTTGAGGCAAACTATTAAAACACTGAAAATAAAGGGGAAATATGTGTTGATTTTGAAAAAGAACATCCCATTGCAGACAGTTATTGGAGTTACAATGGAAGTCAGAATTTCCTCAATCCGAAGTTTACACCTTATCAGTTAACCCTCACGATAAAACACCATTTTCAATCATAAATTTAATTACATACATGACAAGCAATGTAAAAAAAAGTTGCTATTTATTTTTCACGATAAATTGTGCTAATCTGGATCATTAGGCCTAATAATTACTTACCTGTTTCTGCATTCATCATAATCCATGTACTGGCAATTTGTAAGCTCTGTTTTGATTGGATAATTAAAAAGGGAGAGAGTACCCTAAATTCGAAACGGCCCGTTGAGATTTTCCCGGAATAAGTTAGTGGTCAAGGACCCTCAAGACACACAGGCGCTTGACGTTTTTAACCTTTCTTTTCATAAATAAAAAAATTCCCCATACTATAATAATAACAATATGGGGAATTTTTTATTTATGAAAAGAAAGGTTAAAAACGTCAAGCGCCTGTGTCAAGACACTAAAACTAAACGTTTTTCAAAATGGTTAACTAAAAGCTCATGTCACATTCAAAAACAACTTTGGAAGAGAGCACTATCTCACCATTGTTAATTAATAACTTTGATCAGAGGTACAATGTAGACTCAGAGATTACACGACAGGACATTTTTTGCTTGTTTATCCCCCCCTCCCCCCATAGGGCTTGTCTTCCGGATTGTTAAATGTAAAATAAATCAATAAAATTTTGAATGCACTTTAAATACACTTAAAAGTTGTGGCATTATCCTGTTATTAGCATCGCGATGCTAATAATTTTTGACGTTATTGACGTTATTGGCGTTAAAAATCATTTATAATATGATATAATATTAATGTTTCTTCTTTACATTCCAATTGCATTTATTCCGTTGTAGGCCTATGTGATTTTTTTTAGAAATTACCTTATTTTGAATGGCAACTGACTTGTGACTAAGTGGTTGGTATATATAAATATATATATCATAAAACCTTTCAATAATTGTAGCATGATTCAAAGAAGTTTTAGATGATGTATGACTCGATTGTAAGGCACGGTAAAAACATTTTTAAATATTACAAAGTTTTTCGCTTCCGTTTCCATACACTAGTACCTTACGTATATATTTTTTTCTCTCCGAAGTAAATTTATAACGGAATAAATGTATTGATTGAAAATGGGAAGAATTACTTTATTCCGTTATAAATAAATTGGGGGGGGGGTATGAAAAGTAGGGAGGGTGTCTTGATTGTGCTAATAATTGTTGTAATGGACCATTTATTCTGTAATTATTGTATAAATTATATTTTGACAAAAATTTTATACTCGGAATAAAACTATTGATGAAAAATGGTATGAATTCAAAAGATGTACTTTATTCCATTATAAATAAATTTAAAAATGAAAGGAGAGTGTGTGATTGTCCTAATAATTGCTGGAATGTAACAATGCATAAATTTTATTCTCTCCGAGGTAAATTTATAACGGAATAAATGTATCAATGATGAAAAATGGTATGGATTCATAAGATACACTTTATTCCGTTAAAGAATTTGAAAAAAGAGGGAGGAGGTAGGGGATTGTGCTAATAATTGCTGGTATGTTCCATTTATTCAATAATTAATGTATGATTTCTTTTCCATTTCCGAGGTAAATTTATAACGGAATAAATGTTTTTATGTAAAGTGGTGTGAATTTAAAAGATGTACTTTATTCTGTTACAAAATATGAGAAAAAAAAGTTGAAAAAGGGGACTGATTGTCCTATAATAATGGTAGAATGTAACATTTATTAATTTATCTATTATTTCTTTCTCTGCGAGGTATAACTTTATTTGTATTGAAGGAATACACCTTTTAACCCGTTATAGGCAAAAAGAATTTTCTCCAGAATTAATTTAACAGAATAATTGCAATGCATTAAGATTACAGTAAATGCACATTTACATTAATTTTCTTAATATGGAAAGGGGGATCTTTTGCCACATATTGCTGTTGCTTAGAAACGGAATAAGTGTACTTAGTCTAATTAAGGCAATAGAAGTAATGTAAAAGTCATATTTTCTTTCCTTATATTAAAAGGGAAGTGTATTTGAAGTTCATAAAATTACAATTTATTACATAATACAGGTAATATGTACTTTTATTACAGTTTTTGAGTAGTACTCTCGTTTATTCCGTTTAAGATCATTCAATGGTCGTTATTTCCATTATTTGATTTCTGCACGGATTTGAATGTATTCCAGAACAGGTGAGGAATAAAAGGCCTTTGTTAGTGGCATAACACTGTAAAGAAGTCCCGTACACACTACCATTTACAGAAGACATGGAATTGAATGAGTCGCTAATCATGATGCTCTACTACATGTTTTTAAAAATACTTAATGCACTACAAGAGAAACATAATTTTTTTTTCTTCATCATATCTTTATTTTGTGAAATTCTCTAGCTGTGTATATTACTCCTAGTATTAGAATCGCAATTCTAATAAGTTTTGAGGTATTTAGGTGAATGTCGTCTCTCTATATATACTCCTGTTATTGACATCGCGATGCTAATAAGTTTTGAGGTATATAAATGTGTCTCGTCTCTCTATATATACTCCTGTTATTGGCATCGCGATGCTAATAAGTTTACAGGTATGTAAATGTGTCTCGTCTCTCTATATATACTCCTGTTATTGGCATCGCGATGCTAATAAGTTTACAGGTATGTAAATGTGTCTCGTCTCTCTATATATACTCCTGTTATTAGCATCGCGATGCTAATAAGTTTTGGGCATTTTACCTAAGTAAGATGTGCCATTTTTTGAGTGATATCCCCCCAAAACTCCAAGCCCCATTTTTTCTGATGAAATCCCCCAAAGAAACCCTTTTCCCGGGAATACTTCCCTTTGTGGAGCTTATAATCTTGATATTTGGAAACGTCGTCTCTCTATATATACTCCTGTTATTAGCATCGCGATGCTAATAAGTTTTGAGGTATATAAATGTGTCTCGTCTCTCTATATATACTCCTGTTATTGACATCGCGATGCTAATAAGTTTACAGGTATGTAAATGTGTCTCGTCTCTCTATAAATATTCCTGTTATTAGCATCGCGATGCTAATAAGTTTTGGGCATTTTACCTTAGTAAGATGTGCCATTTTTAGAGTGATATCCCCCCAAAACTCCAAGCCCCATTTTTTCTGATGAAATCCCCCAAAGAAACCCTTTTCCCGGGAATACTTCCCTTTGTGGAGCTTATAATCTTGATATTTGGAAACGTCGTCTCTCTATATATACTCCTGTTATTAGCATCGCGATGCTAATAAGTTTTGAGGTATATAAATGTGTCTCGTCTCTCTATATATACTCCTGTTATTAGCATCGCGATGCTAATAAGTTTTGAGGTATATAAATGTGTCTCGTCTCTCTATATATACTCCTGTTATTAGCATCGCGATTACAAGTTTATTATTTATTTTTATCTAAATTTTATTTTCAACCATTTAAAATCATTAAATATTTATATTTAACAACTTTTAACGCTTCTGACGTTACGTAAAAAAACGTCAATAATTATTAGCATCGCGATGCTAATAACAGGATTATGCCAAAGTTGTAAAAATAAAAGATTCTTACACTTTCAGTCAAGAAGAACCACGTTTAAAAAAGCCCATACCCCCCCCCCCTCCCCTTGATTTCCGAATCCCAATAGTTCTTCTACTTTTTTTTTTTTATAAAAAATATTTTTTCTATGACATTCAATTGAAAAATCTAAATGTAACCAAATACTAACCTTTAAAAATATCACACTCTGATATTAAAAGTTCTCTTCTTAATTTTTTTTTAATATAAAAATGTCGGACTGAGAACCCTGTACGGAACGCAGGGGTGGGAGGTGTGGGATGGGGGGGTCCCGTCCCTCCCCAAGAACCTGTGTTATGCACAAGCATGTTTTGGGGAATTTATTTTTTAAATATCAGAAGAAAAATATATATACCCATGTCAAAGTGGAAGATAGTTTGTTCGGCAGTTATTAAGCCTTCCCAGTTTTAATTTATAAGCAGTTTATTAGCAGTTCCTTAACCTTCCTTAGCCATGTCCCTCAGACAAGTTGATAATTATTCATAAAAATAGGCAGTTCAAGGCAGTTTTTCTTAACCTTCCTAGTTTTCAACCAGTTTTGAAGCAGTTAATTTTCGCGAAATATTTATGAGTTTAAAAAAACTGCTTGAAACTGCAAATGACTGCTTCAGAACTGTTAATCCATTTCCATTTATGGTTGTGTCTAATGAATATTCAAAGGAATATGATGATGCACAAACGTACAATTTCAAATTGAAACCCTGTCGAAATATGGCTGAAATATTCCCGACTCGGCGTATCATGTAAAATTAAAAAAAAAATGAATTTTAAAGAAGTGCAAACTGCTTTAAATTCACAATAAGATATCAATGCATGTTAAAAGAATCTAATATATGATGAAATTTTCCTCAATCAAAAATGAGTAAAACCACCTTCTTCGACAAATTTTCCTTTATTTTTTATCAAAAATGCATTGATTTTGAAACTTTTTCTAACAAAAATTAAACACTGCAATTTTGTCTTTTCAGAAATATATTCTCTTAGGAAAGATATTAAAATGTACCGTTGAATACAACTGTTATAATCAGTGTAACTTGATACAATACGTACATCTTATTCACATTCACAACCATGCATGCAATTATACTCACAGACTAAAATATATTCCAGGGCATATATTATAGTGAATGTTCGACAAGACTCACTTAATTCAAACATATACAAGCTGATAAACCTGTGAAAAAATCCAATTGTCAGGTTTTAAAAATCCGGTTACCACAAAGTATAATATATGTTGGCACTGTTTCTGTAATTAATTCAATTGTTTATAGATCATTAAAACAGGGGTATCCAAGATAAGTCTCACTTCTCTTCTGAAACTGTAAAGGAAAGAAAATTAAATTATGTGAAATGGATCATATGTATATTACATACACATATTGACATGTACAATTGAACTTGCATCTACTGTGAGAAAAAAAATCTAGATGTAAAAAAACAAATATACAAATCCACGCATTGTCAATGACAAGTACTAGTACTTACATCGATAACGTAGTCTGATTAATTAGATATAAGGCCATTCCAAGTTTGTTCTCTGTTTAGCGTCCACCCATCTTTCAAAAACCTACCTACCTATTCGCAAAAAACACACAAGCCAAAAAATAAAACACAGACTTTACAGTAATAAAGACGACATCATTCAAAGTATTTTCTTTCATGAATCTATTATTCTCATACCGTTCACGGTAGCTCAGTCAGGAGAGCGCTCGGTCCGTGATCGGGAGGTAGTGAGTTCGAGTCTCGGCAGCGACTGACCTAAGTCGATAAAAAATGGGTAGCAACTGTTCCTTCGCCATGCGCTCGGCACTTTGAAGTGAAAGTTACGGGTCCTTCGGATGAGACCTTAAAACCGAGGTCCCGTGTCACGCAGGCGTTGGCACGATAAAGATCCCTCACTGCTCAATGGCCCTGAGTGCCGAGTAAAGGTCAAAATTTGAAGCCCTTCACCGGTATATGGTGACGTCTCTATACGAATGAAAAATTCTCGAATGGGACATAAAACAACATACAATCAATCACTCAATATTTTTCTCATAGAAATATCTTCTGTTTGGTAAAATTAAGGTATTAAATGCTTAAAATATACATAATATGACATACTAGTGAGAAATATTGAAAGAACTTGACAAATTTTCAAAATTTTGACCAAAATAATCAATTTTAGGACACCTGATTTTGTTTGATTTTCTGATATGGGATGCTAAAAACCAAGGCGCACGCGGATGCTAAACATAGAAAAAACTTGGAATGGCCTAACTGTGCATTACTGGTTATAAGAATTAGAGCCATGCTCTCTCTATAAAGGGAGATAAATAAGAAATAATGGGGTCATTTAAACCTCTTCTCAAGCACAACTGGACCAGAAATTAAAAGACAAAAAGCTTTCAATGAGTTTCATATTTGTTCACACTCATGGCTATCAGGGCTAAAAGATGCATAGGGGAGAGTGAAGGTTGTAACACACAGTGACCCCTCTATCTGACAAATAAAGTTCAAAGGTTAAGGCAGCCCAATATCTCTAGGCTTACAAGTCTTTCTTCACCTTCAACATAAAGTTACTTGTCTTATTTCACACTTCCTTCTCTTCAAACTAGCCAGGATTGTTCCAGTTGTACCAAGCAAAAGGAGAAGTCATTGAGGATGGCTAAATCTAATTAGAATTATCTGTGTCTTGGGTCAAGCCCTCACCACAGTTCGTTAAAACGGGTCCGTAAGAGAATATCATTTTAATGATAGAATGTTCCATCTAGGCAAAATGTAGGGTTTTTTTTTTTTTTTTTTTTTTTTTGCATTGCACACCACTTTGGGTAAATCAGATCAATTTCTGATGCTTTTTATGCATTTTTAGATCATTATAGTCTTTGTTTCAGATCAAAGGTAATATTAAATCCTTTGACCAAGCTAGAGCTCTATTGGTTTGAGCTTGAAAAATTTGGGAGAAAAAAAAAGGAATTTCTTTATTTCATTCAATCAACCAAGAGTAGCAAACTAGTAGCATTTAGAAGTAGCATTTTAAAATTCATGTGTAAAATTGATTTAACAAAAATTCAATTTTTGTAACAATGACAACGCTGTTTATTAAAATAATATGTGATGAAAGAAATTGCACACAAAGTTATGTCATTAATATTATACAAATGGAGCCCTTTAATGAGGTTGATCCACAGATATATCGACTTCACAGAAAAGCATATCGACTGAGCAAGAAGTGCAAAGTCGATATGCTTTTCTGTGGAGTCGATATACCGAATCAAAGTAACATTTGTTATATTATTTTCTTTGGAAAAGAAAGAGACAAACAAATTCATTAGGTAGGAATTTGTAAGTTTTAAAGACTTTTCACCTTTGTAAGCACATGGATTTTCCTTAAGTTTTTTTTAAATAACTCAAGTCAATATCGTAAAATATAATTTTGCATGTGATAGCAAGCAAACCAATCAGATTTATTTAATTACACAGTAAAAATAATATAAATATATAGCAGAAAAATGCAACAATGCGTAACTTTTATACTTGTAGCAAAACACAACATTTAACATGTCATCTTGGTTAGAAATAACATTTAACATACTATCACCAATAATGCCTCAGGAAAGAGTAAAAGTGCATGTATGTTTGAAAATTAACAAAATGCAGTAACTAATCATAAACAGAATTAGTATCCATGACAACAAGCAACTGCTGAAAATCACTACAGGAGAAGTAAATACTTCTCAGATGGATCATGTAAACATCATCTACATTTACAAATCTTATGATAATAACTATCCAAAAATATGTGCTGAATTTTAGTCTGAAAACAGAAAGATTTACAAAATTCATATTTAGCAGCAAGTGAATTGTAACTATATGTTTTATGCAACCATTTAAAAAATTCTCTGGAAGATTATATGCAATCTGAAGTCAGAACTTGCAGAAAAGAAGTCTATGGAATCAATGTCTTCAACCTTCTCAGAACAATTTTTTTTAAATGAGAGAAATCTATGGGAAAAAACTGATTGGAAAATACACACCGAGAAATAATATTAAAGCTGATCTATGTAACTTTTTAAGTTACAACATCCAGATTCTCTGAAGATGATGCTTGTTATGAAATGGTGAGTGTTTGAAACTTTGAGCTCAATGAAAGATGATAAATTGATAAATAAACAGGTATATCAATTCAGTTGCACTAAATCTACTTGATAAAATATGATTACCAGGTGCTTCCATATTTTTTTTTTCATCTTTCAGACAAATATGCATACATGCACACATACATAATGCCAAGATCAATCAATAAAATCAATTGAAAAATATTTTACATTTAAAATGCCTTGGAATATACTATATTCATCTAGAAAAGGACATTTTGGAATAATAGGATATACTTATTTCTTGTTTTTTCATATATTTAATTTTATAACTATTAACTGTTTCTTAATGATGTGATTATATGGACAATATTGTGAAAGCAAAATACTTTTTAACAACCAAGGATGTACATGCTGATATTGAACATGCACCTGAAAACTTGTATATGAGAGACTGGAGCTGACTTTTTGTATTTGATACAATTTTCTAATGAAATGAATTTACAGTAAAAAAAAAACCATAAATATTTTGAGTACAGAAAATTTATATGCCTGGCCAGAAAACCACAAACTGAAAACAGACTCCAGTCAAAATTTCAAATCTGTATATGTTTTGAAATAATCAAGAAAATAAGACCTAATTTTCACTGAGTGTTTGTATTTGAATATTTTTAGAACTTGCAACTTCTCAAGCATTTCTTGAATTAAAAAATTCAAAATCCAAATTTTGACATAAGGCCATTCTCAGTTTATGGTCTTGGGGCTTGTTTTTATAGTAAACAAACAAAATGCTTTTTCCTTCGATCATTTCCCATGTTCTTTAATGTACAAGTGTATGTAATTTAAAAAGGATTTTTTTTTTACAATAAAATCTTAAAATAAATAGAATCACAGCTTCAGTAGACTTTGATGGAAAACTAATTTATCTACAGGATATATACAGAGACATAAATAACACAGATATTGTGTCCTTACTATACACATAATATACTGTAAACCAACTTTTATTCACATGCGAGAAATATCCTCAAGTTTTGTGACCTACTTTAACTTGCGAATATAATCGCCGCAAACCATTTATTTTGCTTTGTATTTGTATAGAATGATTCTTCAGTCACAAAAATTAATCGTCACGGATTGATTTAAAACTGACGAATCGTGAATAAAAGATGACGAGAATAATAGTAGGTTTACAGCATATATATATATATATATATATATATATATATATATATATATATATATATATATATATATATATATATATAATATATATATATATATATATATATATATATATATATATATATATATATATATATATATATATATAAACAGACTCTAACATCCTTCAATCAGTGTCAACATTTCTAAAATAAATCATACAAGAAACTACAATATATTATCTAACATTTACAAAATTATCTTAAATATGCACAAAGATCTTCCATGTTTGATTCTATATTAAAGACTTCAAAAACCTGAATAATTTACTTTATTTCCTATCTAGCTTGTAACGCGAGAATTGATTGGCTTGCAAGCTGGGTGTAAATTTCTGAGCTTGAGGCGGGGGTAAATAATGTGATGACACAATGCATAGTTTCTCTATCACAAAAAGCAAATGACATTATTGCACGACAGTTTGAAACAGAGGTTTACATTGATTTTATTGAGTGAAATAGGAAATAAATTCCAGGTTCAATCAAGGGTGTACGGGGATTTACCCAGTTTGTCTTCTATACACCCTATGGCCTGAGGGTGTATGGAATACAAGGCAGAGTAAATCCCCGTACAACCTGGACTGAACCTTGATAACAATCCTACCATTTACCACATGTTGTTAGTAATGCCAAATTCTCAGGTTTTCATTCCTAAATACAGTAAAATTCACTCTTTTTTTGACAAAATAAAGACGTTTTAAGTCTCCTATGATATAAGGATAAGTAACAGTACATCATTCTCAATGCCTGATGTAAATTTCCTCCTCTGTTTCTCTCTCCCTCTAACTTTCAATATCTAAAAGGACAAAAACAAAACAGAATCTATCAGAATTAAAGACACAACTCAACTTTACTATTATTAATATAAATGTTGACCTTTGAAAATCCATCAGTTTACAATATACATGTACAGAATCAACAAGCTCCAGCCAATGTTCAGAGCACTTAGGAAACTGGTAAAAATGAACAAAACTAATAGTATAGTGAACATACCTACAACAGATGAACTTAGGCTGGCACAAGTGAATATACCTGATACAAATGTACACATCTGACATAAGTGAACATTCCTGACACAAGTGAACATGTCTGACACAAGTGAACATACTTGACATAATTGAACATACCTTACCCAAGTGAACATACTTGAAATAATTGAACATACCTTACCCAAGTGAACATACTTAACATAATTGAACATACCATACACAAGTGAACATACTTGACATAATTGAACATACCTTACACAAGTGAACATAACTCACACAATCAAATGTACCTGACCCATAAACATACCTGATATAAGTGAACATACATGACATAAGTGAACATACCGGTACCTTAATCAACATACATGTACCTGACACAAGTGTCCTGACACAAATCAATGTACCTGATAAAAAAACCCATATCTGATGGAAGTGATCAAATCAGACACAAATGAACATACCTGACACAAGTGAACATACATGACACAAGTGAACATATTTAACACAAGGCAGTGTTAAGGCTTCCCACAGTGCACACTGTGCCTCTGCTTCTCTGAATTACCAATATATGATGTCATAACTGAAAATGATGTCAAGTCACTACAAACTTGAAGGTTGATCTGTATGTCATAAACTTTACACCTTATTTTGCATGTCAAAAAAAAAATAAAAAGCCTGAAAGGCTTCAATGGCGTCGAACAAGAAAAACAATTTCAAAAGATCTGAAGAAAGCAATAGGTCAAGCGAATGACTCAGGTGACGTTATAATAATAACAAAAAATAGTTTTAAACAAAATGTCACAATTACAGTCTTGGGCCTTATGTCATGGTCCGAACGGAGCAGGGTTTGAATTGACTAGACACTGTCGAACATGTTCATGCTAAATGTCAAACTAATTTCTTTTCGGTCAATTGATGAAGGATTTCAAGAATTTTTATATTATTCTTTTTAATTGCCAATGTCAAATCGTTGTTTTAGTTATTGCATCTAAACTACAACCATGACTCTGCTCTGTTACAAGTACAATCAAGTTACGATAGGGCATATGGTATTATGGAGAAATACAGTAATACTGGACAACATCATGATCGGTTTTTAGGATAAAGTTGGGTAGAAGATTGTAAAAGTAAAGCTAAGATTTAGAAATTCAATCTTTTCAGTCTTGTAGTATTTGTGTTTATGTAATTTTGTAATTATTTTCCCGCCTGTTGGGTTGTTTGTGTTACATGATTATCATTCCAAAAATGTTAAAATTCATGTCATTCGACACACTCTTTCTGCAGAAATTCATCTGCAACAACCATCATGTTTTTCTTGTGTTAAAATAAAACATAATATCGTTGTTTTGTAAAAGAAATAATTGTAGAAACAATTGATGCAATTTTATTTTCAAACTATTATTCATTGTGAGTGTTTTCAAACAAACTGGTTTTTAGCTATTGCTATTTTCTTCCGCGGATGCATCCACTGACACATTCGGTCGCGTACATCCGGTGGCGATTTCACCTGGCCGATTGCTAGATGACGTTCGAGCTCCAAGAGATCGACGCCATAAAAAGAAAAATATTGCAAAATTCTCATGTCTTAATTGTATTTTTAAATCTTATATGTCTGAATATTTTAAATGCTTAGTTTAATTATCCTTGACTGAAATTCAGCTGTAGTTAAGTACATAACTAACAATTTAAAATCAACCTCGCAATGCTATATTATGTTTTGAATGCATTTTAAAGCTTCGAGAAGCCTCAACATAACTGAAAAGGGATCATACTTGACAGAAGTGAACATACCTGACAGAAGTGAACATACTTGACACAAATAAACATACCTGGCACAAGTTAGTATATCTGACACAAGAGAACTTACTTGACACAAGAGAACATACTTGACACGAGTCAACATACCTAAAGTAAGTGAACATAACCGGCACATATCAACATACCTGACACATTGACATGCGCGCGCATCTTATTTCCCTCTCCCACCTGGACCACGGTGTGGTGTTCATGCCTGTGGTGATGGTGATGTTGATGTAGGTGCAGGCAACCTTAAACAAAGAATACACAGAGATAAAGTTCACAGAACTTATCAACAAGATTTGTTTCAAACAGGAAGATTTGCCAATAGCCTTATCAAATACAGTTGAACTTCGGTATTTCGAATATCTCAAATACCATGGATATGTTGAAGTGATTTGGAGGTCCCAACCACTTACTCTTTATGTATTTTACCCTCAGTTGATATCTTGAATCTTTGGATATCTCAAAGTTTTTTCTCGGTCCCAACA